AGTGAACCAACAGGTGGAAGATCTTTGTCTCTCCCACTCTCTCTGTAACTCACTCAAATAAATGAATAAAACATATTTTTATAGTGTTCAATTCTTGGGGCCGGTGCTGTGGCTTAGCAGGTAAAGCTGCAGCCTATAGTGCCGGCATCCCACATGGGCACTGCTTTGAGTCCTGGCTGCTCCACTTCCAATCCAGCTCTCTGCTATGGCCTGAGAAAGCAGTAGAAGATGGCCCAAGTCCTTGGAGACCCAGAGGAAGCTCCTGGCTCCTGGCTTCAGATCAGTGCAGCTCTGGCCGTTGCAGCCAATTGCAGAGTGAGCCAGCAGATAGAAGACCTCTCTCTCTCTCTCTCTCTCTCTCTCTCTCTCTCTCTCTCTCTCTCTCTCTCCTTGTTCTCTCTGTGTGTAACTCTTTCAAATAAATTAATACATCTTTTAAAAAAAGGTCTCCAATCCTTAAGATGAAAGACAAAGCACAGAGGGTGTGGGAAGAGTTTGTGGCCAGATCGGAAGAGAGGCTTATCACTCATCCGCAGTGGCCTGGCCAGAGCTCAGTCCCAGGGCCATGGGAATGCAAAGGCTGCTGGGGAAAGAAAACGGCGCTTTCTACCATGATCATGACCATCTGCTGAGTCCTGGGACCATGTCTGTTTTCTTCAAAACTCTGTCCCCAGCTGTTTCCAACCTAGCGCTTGGTGCATAGTAGGTCTCAAATACTCCTGGGTTGTTGTCTAATGGAGAACTTTCCCATCTCCACCTGCAGGCGGCGCTCGGATGCAAGGTTGACGCTGGCTCGCTCCGACTCGGATTGGCCACCAGATGTCGCTGGAGCACTTCAGGGCGAGGGACTAACGGAAAGCTCTTTCAAGCCCTGTCCAGACAGGGCCCTGAAAGTCTTCTAAATGCAGGGCCAGAAGGCTATAACCTTACGTGATAGCCGAAGGGAAGTGGCCAAGAGTAACTTCTGTTTTGCATGTCTGCAGTGCCCTGCGAGACGCCTCTGCCCCCGCATTTGGTCTGGCCACGTGCAGGTTGGGGGTCAGGGCTTCAAAGATCTCTGTGCACCAGGACCGGGAGCCCGGAAGCAAACCAGGCACAGCCTCCGTCCTGGAGGAGCTCCCACAGGAACCCTGCGCGGATCGCTGTGCTGAGGCGGGCCAGGAGCTGGAGCTGAGTGGCCCGGGAGAGCTCTGTGTTCAGCAGACCGCGGAGGCTCAGGGAGAAAGGATGTAATGTCCCCGCAGCCTCAGAGCTTGGGGCTCCAGAAACAGCCCCTGGCTCCCCGCGGGGAGGGTGGATGCGACTGCCAGCAGGGTCACAGCCTGCAGGAGGCCGGGGCGGGACCTGCAGTCCTCCCACTCCTGTCACTCACTTTCGTTTCTTCATCTCCAAGCTGCCACAGGCAAAGTTAGGAGGCACCGGGGCAGGGCAGCGGAGCGGAAGACCTGGGGGCACCTGCGGCTCTGGATCTGCTCCCGACACCCTGCAGGGCCGGGATGGGCTCCTGCCCTCTCGTGGTGTCATCCAGTAAAGGGTTGGCTGCGGTGGTCCGCGGGACCTGGCCAGCCAGGCGGGGCTGAGAGGCGGAAGCGACCCCGCAGGTGGCCCAGTGCGCTTCCATGGAGATATTAACTGTACCGGGTGCTTCTCCCGCCTGGGGAAGGCCATGCCCATGAATCAGGGCCTCGAGTCTGCCAGGCAGAGGCTTAATGAGGAAGGAGATGGACTTCAGTGAGAGCACACAGTGCCCCAGAGGTCACATGCCCAGCCCTGCCTGGACACAAGGAAGCTGGAGCCAGAGGGAGGCAGGTGTAGCCGAGGTCAGAGCGTGGGGGTGGCCAGGAAAGAAGGGGCAGGCTCTGGATCCCCTGCACCCAGCACCCCGGGAGTCCCAAGCAGCCAGTCGGTGCTGAGTTCAGACGCAAACCCAGCCCTTGGACCCTGGCAGGGCCCTTCCTGGTCCCCTCCCCAGATCGCAGTCCCTCTCACTCCTTGGGCTGCACTGACAGCTGTGATTATGGGGGGAGGAGTGGGAAAGGAAGGCTGGTTGGGGGCCCAGGGCACCTCCAAGAGGGGCTCTGAAGTGATGGGTGTGGTCAGCTGGACATCCTCCTCCAAGGTCTCTTCTGGGCTCCCACAGTGGCCCCTTTCCTTACCGCCCCCTCCTCCCCACCGCCCGTGTGGCTCAGCTGCAGTCTGATTCCTCTCTGTGTCTGCAGATCCAGCCCGAGGCCTGGCACCGAGGTGGGGCAGGCAGAAGGAGCCTGCAGGCTCTGGGAGCCCCACGGATCACAGCTCAGCTTCCCTGAAGTCAATGCTTCCAAGGGCAACAGGCCCCTGATGACTCTCTGTGGGGAGCTGGGAGCTGTGGCCCCCACCCCACCCCTTTCCACCGACCCCCAACCATTGCTGCTCCCCTCCAGTTCTCAGAGCAGCAAGATCTTCCTGCCTCCAGGGCTTTGTGCAAGTCAACGCCTCTGATCTCTCTCTGTTCTGCACATTCCTATTCATCCTTGGAAACTCAATTAAAATGTGACTTCTCTGAGAAGTCTCCAGGCTGTGCCAGGAGCCCTTACTCAGAGCTCTCACGGTTTCCTGGGCTGTCTTTTTCTAGACCTTGGGTCATTAGCTTCTCAGTAAAGGCTAGATCTGCAGAACAGACAAGGCTGGGGACCCTGGGACCCTTTGGTGGCCCCACAGGCCAACAGTCACTGACAGATCCCAGGCATGCGGGGGGGGGGGCGCAACCCAGAGATGACATTAAATGGGCATCAGCCAATGGCACTAGAGGTAAACGGGAAGCAATCAGTAGGCACTCAAGTCCTTGTTTTGGACAACACTAACTTGATACTTAGCAGTAGCTCTCATAATAGAGCTTTGAAGATTTTTGCTGACAACAAACTTGCAGCTAATAGCATGTTTTATTTGCCAGGGTTTATAGCAGACTTAGGCTACATTACCGGAGGGCACGTGTTTGGAACCAGGGAGGTAATCTTTTAGAGACACGGATCTCTGTGTTCGGCAGACAACCACTGCTTGGTCCTAGGGAATTGTCAGGGTGCTCTGTGAAGGCCACTGACAGAGGGGAGTGCTCCTCTTCTCATGAGAGAAGGGCCAGGGCACTTGCTGGGGTAGGAGACTCATGCACTATCTCCTCGCTGTGCGGCTCCATCCTGGTCCCTGGGCAGAGCTGGGGCTGTCAGGGGCTCCCCTTACCCAGGCTCCTCTGTCCCAGACAAGGGTGCTCAGCGGAGGAGTGGGCGAGCTCCCCATTGTTGGGGGAGCCCCTTGAGGAGGCTGCCCTGCCATGCTTACAAGGCACAAGCTCTCAAATGGTGTGGGCCTAAGATTCTAAGATGCCAGAGTCCCAGACTTCTGTAACCCCAAATGCCAACAGAGTGAGCCTGGAGAGCTGCAGGGAGGAGACAAGACCCCCATCCCAGCCCTCCTGCCTCAGAGCCGCCAGGGGCCCCGGCTCTCCGTGTTTGATGCACCCCTCACCTCTAGTTGCTGCTTCTCACACACCCAGCATCAGTTCTTGCCCCTGTAGCCAGGAGGGACCTGGGACACGGAGCGTCAGAGGGTGCAGCAGAGGGGTGATCCCTCCCTGTCTGGTTAACAGCAGACCTTCCGCCCTGGTGGCCTGGCCTGAGGCTGGTGTCTGAAGTGCAGGATCCCACCCCGGCTGTCCTAACTCCATCTCAGACTACCTGGTTGGGCATTGCCATCTCAGCGGGAAGTCCCTCCTCATATCCAGCCCCATTCCTGCTTGGCACAGTCAGAGCCCATTTCTCCTGCATTCCAGAACCACACCCCCGCACCTCAAACCCAAACTGCTTCCTCCCAGGCGTCTCCCCCACCCCCCACCCCCAGCGCTCCAGGGGCAGCAGGAATGACACAGCACCGCTTCCAAGGGTAGAGGGTCCAAGATTATTGCAGACTTTATAGAAAACTGCCCAAGGGAGATTCAGATTTCTTGGGTGGGGGCAGAAAGGCAGGCCTCAAGCCAGGATGTCAGAGGAGGGAAGGGGACTTCCTGTGTGCAGAGGCAGCACAGGCCAGCCGTTCTGCCTGACCTAGGGGTGGGAGGCAGGGAGAGGCGGGCCCTCCCCACTCCGCACTTGTGCTTTGGGATCATGCAGAAGGCAGGGCCCTGAACAGGAGGGCTTGTGCCTGAGACAAGAGCAAGGCCCCTTTCCCTTCCAGGGGCAGGGTGCAGCTCGGGGGTCCTGGCGGCAAGGACTCCCCAGGGAGGACAGCAGTCAGCAGCCCCTAGTCCTTCAGAGCCCCCAGCCCTCCTCCGAGCCACAGTGCATGGGTGACCCGGGCTCTCAGGCCGCAGCAGCACACACCCAGGACTCTCACCTTCCCACAGGGATCTGTCGGTAGGCTCTGTGGGTGGCTGGCACCCGCACCTGTCCGGAGGACTGCAAACCGCATCCCGGGAGGACAAGGGGAGGGGCTGAGCACATCGCAGCGGTGAATCCCTCACCGCACCATGACCCCTAAATGTGGGGGTAGGAGGGGTGGTGAGAGCCTGAAACTCGGGTGGGACAATGAAGCTACGATGGGGGGGGGGGGCTGAGAGGCTGAGATGCAGGATGTGCAGTGAAAGGGGTGGGGGAGATGGCGGGAGAGGCTCCGGATGGCTCCACGCTGAGGCTGGAACGGGGTGCCTGTCCCCGGAAGGAGAGAGACAGACTACGCGCTGAGCCCTAAGCCTGGGAGAGACCTGAGCCGGAGCTGGGGTGGTGGGTGGAGAGGGAGGCAGGGGCACGAAATGCACCCAACCCTGAGAGCCCCAGGATGTTGGTCTCCACACAGGACAAGGGTCTCCGGGTCCACGAAACCTTCTGATGAGACCAGGAGGCGTGAGAGAGCTCCAGGCCGGGGCCAGGGCTGGGAGTCCGTAGAGCCTCGTTTGCGGCGCCGGAGTGCCAACCCCGGGTGGGGGGGAGCTGTTTCCTTTTGAGTTTTCAGATCCAAAAATAGGGCCCCCCCCCCCCCCCCCCGGCAGGGACCCGGGCTTTCTCGGTCTCTGTTTCAGAACCTGCGGTGGGCGGGCAGGCGGGGTTTCTGCAGTTCGAAGGGGCGTCTCCGGGTCTCTGACCGTGGAAGCGCACGGAGAACAGGACGAGGGGTGCAGCTCGGAGCGCTCCCCAGCAGGGAGCCTGCCATCTGGGCCCAGGCGGGCCGGGGCAGGCTCCAGGTGGAGGCGCTCAGAGGCCGGAGGCGGGGGAGGCGGCGCGCGAGGCTGTGGGCGCGGCGGGCGCGCGGCGCGGGTCGGCGTCCTGCTCGTAGCGGTAGTGGTAGCCCTCCATCTGGTCCCGGCACGCCTCGCGCAGGTTGCGCATCCAGCGCTGGATGCCGCGACGGTTTAGGTAGAGCACCATGAGGAAGATGAGGCCAATGAGCGCCAGCACCAGCCCGAAGAACACGTAGGAGGCCTCCAGCTCCGGGCCAGCCGCTTCCTCCTCTTCCCCGCGCCCGTCGGGGTCGCCGCGGCCGCAGCGCAGCCGTGCCTCATCCAGGTCCAGCAGAGGCCGGTCGTGCAGTGCCCGCGGGCCGGCGCAGCGAAGGCGCCGCGCGTCGGGCGCGCGTTCCGTGGCATTGCGCAGCCAGGCCAGCAGGGGGCGCACGGCGCAGCCGCAGCGCAGGGGGTTGTCGGCGAGCAGCAGGCGCGGCCCGGGCTGGCCCGTGTCGCGTTCGAGCGCGCGCAGCTCGTCGGGGCCCAGGCCGGCCAGCGCGTTGAGGCGCGCGTCCAACTGCTCGAGGCGCGGCAGGCGCAGCGCGACGGGCGGCAGGCGGCTTAGCGCGTTGCCCGCCAGGCCCAGCAGGCGCAGCTCGGCCAGCGGGGTGAGCGCGGCGTCCAGCGTGTCCAGCAGCCCAGGGCCGCCCCGCGCCAGCGCGTGGTTGAGCTGCAGCGAGCGCAGCGCGGGCAGCCCGCGGAAGGCGCCGCCGCCCAGCACGCGCAGCGGGTTGTGGCTGAGGTCCAGCGCCGCCAGGCTGGGCAGCCCGTCGAAGGCGCCGTCCTCCACCACCTGGATGTTGTTGTGCGTGAGGCGTAGCGCGGTCAGCAGCGGAAGGCGCACGCCCACCGCCGCCGCCGCCTCCTCCCCGTCCGCGGCCGCGTCCCCGTCCCCATCCCCGCCGGCGAAGGCGGCGGCGCGCAGCACCGTCAGGTTGGCGCCCACGATGGTGAGGTTGCGCGCGTCGGGTGGCACGTCCCGCGGCGGCTGCCGGAGCTCGGCGCCCGACGCGCAGCGCAACAGCAGCTTGGGGCCGCCGAAGCAGTAGCACTGGAAGGGGCAGGGCGCGGCGGGCCGGCTCAGCGCCGCCGCCACGAGCAGCAGCCCCGGCAGCATCGGTCGCTGGAGCCCCGGCTGTCCCGCGCGCGGGGCCATCGCGGCCGCCCCCGCATCCAGCGCCCGGGTCCCCGCGCTCACCAGTGAGTTGGGAGCGCCTGGTGGTGGGGGGGCACGGGTGGGGCAAGTCCTTGACCCGGGGCGGCCGGCAGTCGCGGTTGGTTCGTCCGCCGTCTCCAAAGCCCGAGAAGCCTCGGCTCTCCTGGCTGGGGGGAGGGGGAAAAGAGCAGGGTCGAGGCGCGGAGCGGCGCCCCCCGCCCCCGGTGCCCTCTCGCCCTGCGCGCCGGCCTCAGACTTGCGCGGCCGTTCCGGGCTCCGAGCCGAGTGGGCAGGGTTTGCCTCTTCCCCCCCCACCCTCCCCGCCTCCCAGCCTCCTCCTCCGCCCTCAGCGGAGTCTCCGCGCCCTCCTCGCCGAGGGAGGCGGGGTGGGAGGCTCCGGAGAACCGGGGTTCTCGGCCGCCGCGCCCCCAGGCTCCCGCGCCGGGCTCTGGGGCCGCGGCGAAGTTTGGCTCCGGGAGGCTCCGGCCGGCCCCCGCCCCCACGTTTCAGCGGGTGCCTGGGCACGTGCGGGGCGGGGCGGCCGGCCCGGCCCAGCCCAGGAAGCGAGAGTTCTGCGGGATGGAGGCAGGGATGAGGGGTGGGTTGAGAAAGTTACTCCTTTTTTCGGCCTCTTCCAAGTCTCTGTGAGCAGAGAGAGGGCGCGGAGGGACTGGGAAAATCCCCAGCCTCGTCCTCCTCCCCTGCGACCCCATTCCATTCAGCCCAGCCTTGTCACCGCCCCTGCAGGTCCCGTGCGACCACCCTCCTCTCTATCTTGTCCCACCCCCCGGGGAAGTCTGCCGCCCCTCCCCGCACCGCCCGGCTCTCCGCACCTCTGGCTGCTCTGCCTGGGCCGGGAGCTCTCCCGTCTGGTCTCCTCCGCAGGCTCACTGGTCTCCTGCCAAGCTCTCGCCTAGGCACAGGGACCCCGAGCGTGTAGTGATTCAGCTGTTTGCTTCGCTCCCGGCCCCAGCACCTTTGCACCACGCAGGACACTGCCTACCCGCCCCTCCTCCGCTCTGGGCTTCCCCACCTGTAAGTGGTGAATCCGGGAGGAGGCTTGGGGTGGGGGGTGGGGGGGCGGGAGGGTGGGAGCACAGGAGCAACCTTGGCAGCGGGGAGTGGTCTCAGGGGGGCCTGGGGCTGAGGTGGGGGCTGAGCTGTTTATAGGTTTGTTTTGTTCTGGACTTGTATTTATTTATTTATTTTTTTGCAGAACTGGGAAGCTCCAGACCTGATTTAAAGAGACAGGCTCCTGAGAAGGGCGCATTCCTGGCCTTGGCATGAATTATTCAGGCTGGAGAAGCTGACACTTGATCCGCAGGCCATGCGCATATCAGCAGAGCTGGCTGGGCAGGAGGGCACCCTCCCCCAGGAACCAGACTCTTTGTCCTGAATTGGGTACGGTTGTGACTCCTTCCCCGCGGTTATATTTAACAGGTCTACCAACGGATCGATGCCACTTAAGGAGAAGAGGCAGCCCCTGCATTGACCTGGGGTGTGGACCAGACCCAACGTAAAGAGGAGAGCTGAGGCTGCTGGGGGTCCCCCAGCCCTCTCTCCCCTTCCCCTTCCTCTCTGGCTCCCAGGTGTTGGCACAGGAGAGCAGTAACTTGCTCATGCAGGGTTGGACACGTCTGTGCAGAGGCACTCATGAGGTTGTACACACGGGTATGCTTGTACACGGAGAGGCGAGGTGTGAGCTCATAGTCTCATGCTTCCTCGGACGTGCGTACACGCGCCCGGGAAGGCTTGCACACACTTGTGCACAGTTCCAGGCAGGCGCAGGTATGCTTTCTGCAAGCATATGCAGGCACGTTTGCACACGGGTGCATGTGCGCAGAGCGTCGAGTGCATCAGGTGTATGTCCACTTACACACTTGACAGTAACATTTCTTGCATTCTTAGTTGGGGCCAGCTCACACACCCGTGCAAGGAAACATAAGAGATTTGCCCTTGGTCTGTGGAGGGGCCTGGCTGGGGTACCTGAGGGCTCAAGAAGATGCCCTTGGGAGCTGGGCCCCTGGCTGTTGCGCTTGCCTCAACTCTGCCCCCTCCCCCATGCCCTGGCTCTGACACCCCCCTCCCCCCCAGTGAGAGGCATGGAGTCGTCTTCACTGTTGTGTTTGTGGCACACAGGCTAGCACAAGGGAGTGCTCACGAGTCGTGTGGACCCATGGAAGGACACACAGAACAGCGGAGCCCATGCCGTCTGTGTTTTGCAAATGGGGAAACTGAGGCTGGAGGGTCAGGGATCTGACCCAAAGCCAGTGGCTGATAGGGCTTGTCCTGGGAACCTGCCCAGCTTCTGCCCAAGGTGGAAGGCTGCAAGTGACAGAGTCCTGCACAGGGAGGCTCAGCCTGGCCCCAGGGGATGGAGATCGGAACAGTTGCCAAGGTTGGGCTGGTGTGACCTTGGACCTCCTCCCTCTGCACTGTCAGATTCCTCCTCTGTGTTCCTCTCAAGGCTGCCGTGATAAAGTGAATTGAAAGTGTTTTGGAAGAAGAAACTCCCCACCCACTAGGGTCTGCGAGCCTGGCACCTATTACCTGTGATGTCACCCGTTGGCCCCAGGTAAGGTGTTGTTCCTTTTAGGAGCTAAGTTGGCTCCCATGCCATTTTACCCTGTTCTGTGTCCCTCCTTTCCCCTACTCAGCAAGCGGGTGGTGGGTAGTGAAATGGGCGTCTCCCTGCTTGCCTCTGTGCATGGCCTGTCCCGCTTCCTCCCCTCTCTTCCTGCTTTGAGCAGGTGTTTCCCTTCCCAGTGCTCCTGGAACTGGGTCTACGAGCCATTTAGGGGAGTCTCTGTTCTCTGGAAGCAAAACCCTCACAGTCTTGGGGTTGTTAGTATTCAGTATGCAGTAGGTATTTAATAAATGCATGGCAAGTTGATTCCGAGGCTGTGTTTATTCTCTGCTGTATCCAGAGAGATTGTTCGCTCCACCTGGAGGACTCTCCCCTTGACTCTGTCCAGTCCAGCTCATGGCCCTCAGGGCTCAGCATGAGTAGGGCCTCCTCCAAGAAGCCCCCGTGGCTGCCTTTCTTCCTTTGAACTGTGTTTAGCAGAGGACGAGGGGCTGCCCTCAGCTATTGACTGTCAGCAACTGGGGCTCCAGGTAGTTTGACTTCCGGAGTTGTTAGCTCACAGCTCAGGGCTCAGCTCAGAGAAGGCATGAGGGAATGATTGCTAAGTGACATGCACTGCAGAACCCCAGACTTGGTCTTCCCATCCCTGTGAGGCGAGCTTCACCCCAGGAGACAGGCACACAGAAAGGCTGAGTGCTGCTGCCAAGGCTGCACAGCTGCCTGGGACCCGAGCCTGAGGGGCGTGGGCTCCCTGCTCACCTCTGTGGCAGCTGCAGCACTGCCCGGGTAAGCTCCCTCTCTCCTGGGCGTGTGGCAGGGTCAGACCCCAGGGGAACCTGTGGGCAAAGAACTCAAGTGCTGGGGATTTCCTTAGGGCTGAGGGGCATGTGCAGCCCCCCATTTGCACCCCAGCAGACTGATGGTCTGCCCGTGCCCAGATGAGAACCCCTGTGTCAGCCACACTGGACCTCACTGCTCTATTCCCACTCAGTCCCAGAGCCCCACCCTGAGCCTCCAGCTCCTTCTTTGAGTCCTTTTCCACTGAGCCTTGGCAGGGAGCCCAGAGAGGTCTGGGGACCTCCCCGAGGTGACCCAGCAGGTAGCCCTTCCCCGGTCAAGTGCAGCTCCGTGTCGTCATCAGAGGTGTCTCAGGACCACTGCCTTTCCAGACTTCTGCAGAACTGTGTGTGTGGATGGGATGGACAGGGGTGGGGGGCTTTCAGTCCCGTGCCCCTTCACTTTTTAGGGGTGGGGGTCAGGGAGGGGGAGGTACTACTGTGATTTGCCCAAGTTGATGCCCTGCCTTCTAGATGTATGACCTTGAACTGACTCCAGCCTAGTGAGAATCTTGGTTCTCCCATCTACAAAGTGATGGTGGGGTGGTCTGGGGTCCTTCCAGACCTGTGATCCAAGCTTGCTGTGTCTCCGGAGCCCTCATGCTGCCCCTCCATTCTTCCTTCCTCTGAGATGGGAGGAGGCGCGATGGGTGGGCCTGATGAGATACAGGTCAGCCATCTGGTGGAGGGGAGGCCCCGGATTCCCTCCTCCTGCATAGTGTCTGCTCGCATGGGGAGGGAAGACTTCACTGTGGGCCTCGCTGCTCCCATTTCTTACTACTCCCTCCCCTCCCCCGCTGCCTTGAGACACAGGAAAATCCATAGGCCCAAGATTCATTTTCTCCGTTGAGTCAGCAGAGGCCACGCTCTGCTTGTGAGGGGAGGGCAATGGGCTTTTAAATAACTCTCCGATATTTAATACCCTCCTCCTCCTCCACGCTGCGGCCCGGGCCTCTGGGGAAGGGCTGGAATAAATGAACTGGATGAGAGCTCTGAAAGTCAGGAATGCTCTTGCCCCCACCTTGGTCCTCTCCCCACCCCCCCGGGCCTCCCAGGCCATCAACAAAGCCAGGTCCCTCTCTGCCGTGGCACAGAGCTTTCCAGTTTACAAATGGTGGCCCAGGCTGGTTATCTCACTCACACACACACCATTGGGTTAGAACTGGAAGCTGAAGTGTAGAAGAGGGCGGGACTCCACTTCATTTTTGGTCTTGGTCAGTTGCTGGCTGGCTGTGTGACAGTGAGCAGGTCCCTGTCCCTTCCTGAGTGCTACAAGGTGGCTCAGCCAGAGGTCACCACCAGGCCCACACTAGCTGTAAAATTGCTTTGCTATGCTGTTCCACATTGCCTTCTCTCTGAGAGCCACTGTGTTTCCATGTTGCTCTTCTGGGAGCAGCTAAAGAGTGGAGCAGACTGAGGCTCAAGGCCAGGTAGGTGCTGTGTAGACTCCATTGAGTCAGGGGCAAAATCAGCTCCCTTTCTTCCCTTCCCCCTCTCCCCTGTCTGTCCTTTCTATTTCAAGTGAAGGTCAGTTTATACCCAGGCCAATAACCTATTTGAATCTTGATTTTCTTAAAACCCAGTACAGTGGGTGATGGCAGCCAAACCCTCTTCCTCAGCTCCACCGTGGCCCAGGCTCCTGCCAATGGAGGTCAGTCTCCTGGCTACACCAGTGGTCCTCACCCTTCAGAAGATGGGGATTGATGCCTTGGTTGGCTGTGTGGGACACCAGGGGTTTAACAACTGGGCTTGGGGTCACCCCAGATTAATGATGGCAGAGGGCCTGTATTTTATATTTTATGTTTCCCAACTTGGTGCTCATGCCACTGCCTGAACCAGGTGGGAAGTTGGGGGCTGAAAGATGGGAATGGAGAGACAGGTGGGTTCCTGCTCAGATCTGGGAGTGGCTGTAGTTTGCCCAACTTCCTTAGCTTCCTCTTGAGTCCTCATGATCCTCCTCAGCTGTCCTAAGGCTTCCATCTCTAGAATCACAGAATCTTTGAGTCAAAATCTTGAATTCTAAGCAACAGACCATAGAACCATGGTCTCTTTGAGTCAGTTCCGAGATTCCTGTGGTGTTAGTACTAAGAATGGCAATGAACAAGACACTGAGAGCCATGGTAGCCATACTAATGTATGACAGTCTTCCCAAGTGACTCCTGCCTATCCATATCCATGTTTTTCTGCTATCCCTATCACAGTGACTTTGGCTTGGCTGTGTGACTTCCTTTGGCTAGTGAGACATCAGCAAATGTGATGCAAACAGAGCATTAAAATGTTCTTGTGAGTTGGGGCTCCCCTTTTTTTGCTGCATGGAGAGGCCGTGTGCAGAAACTAAGCAAGCTTCTTAAAGGAAGACACCAGAAATGAGTCATCTCCGCTGA